ATTGAACCACCAACCTTGTGATTGGAGGACAACCTACTCTACCACCTGCACCACAGCCACCTCATGATGGAGAAAAACTGTTGATGATAAAGGTTTTTTTGTTCTCCAGCATAACAACACGAGATCTCACCTCCACAGTATGAAATGATATTCAAATATGGGGATAAAATACGTCTTTTAAGGTAAAAAAATATAAATTGAACCTCTTAAGACCTGGTGTCAACATACGTGGACATCACATTTTGGGTTATATTACTGCAGTAGTTAATTTTTATTTTTTATTATTTTATAGTTTTTTTTTTATCTGTATTTTTTAATTTTTTGAAATATATATATTTTCAAAAATATATTTTATTAAAATTTTTTTTTTTTTTAATTCTCTTTGCTACTTGATCAGATTACATAAATAGACCTTGAGAAAGTCTATCAATCCAATTAGTCCTTCATATGGAAGGAGCCATGTTTTCTACGTTGTTCTCCATCTCATGTGACCTGCAACAAGCCTGGATTGTTGTGAATGATAAAACATCAGTTCTTTAGTTTTATATTTTCAGTTTGGAGGCGCTTGTATGGTTGACACTGAATGAATGCAGAGAACCAACGAAAACCTTCCCAAGTCATCAACACAGTACTTTTAGATCCACTTGAAATATTGACAGATATTTGATTAATTCTATATATAGCAAATTTGTCATTTGAGGGGAGAGAATGTGTCGTGATTCAGGATTTCCTGATTGAAAGCTCAGATGAGCTTTCAGTGTAACACAACGCCTCCTTTGACCAAAGGTGATAAAGATTAGAATAGTTAGAATTACAATTTACAGTTGAAACCACAAGTTTACATCCACTGTATAAAAAGACACATAAACCTTTTTTTTCTCACTGTCTGACATTAAATCAGACTAAACTTTTCCTGTTTCAGGTCAGTTAGGATTACCAACATTATTTCTATTTGCTGAACACCAGAATAATGAGAGAGAGAAGTTTTTATTACTTTCATCAAAGTCAGAAGTTCATGTCCACTAAGATGCCTTCAAACTATTTGGGAAAGCCCAGATGATGATGTCATGGCTTTGGAAGCTTCTGATAGGTTCATTGACAACATCTGAGTTAATTGGAGACACACCTGTGGGTGTATTTTAAGGCACACCTCAAACACACTGTTTCCTTTTGTGACAACATGGGACATCTAAAGAAACCAGCCATGATATCAGGAAGAGAATTGTGGACCTCCACAAGTCTGGTTCATCCTGGGGTACAATTTCCAGATGTCTGAAGGTTCCACGTTCATCTGTTCAAACAGTTATATCACGTATAACCACCGTGGGAATGTCCAGTCATCATAACACTCAGGAAGGAGATGGTTCTGTGTCCCAGAGATGAAGTGTTCTGGTTGAAATGTTC